ACCCTTTGGAGGTACAGACATAGCTTTAGGCCTAACTCTCACGTCACTCCTTTCTGTGGCTTTCTGAGAGACTCTATAACTTTTGTTGTGACCCATTCCTATCTCTTCTTCTAGGCTGGTTCACTATCCGAATGCTTGATGTCAATGCTTGCAAACATGTACCTGTTCTTGTGAGCGACCAATGTCCTTTTCTCTCTTGTCATTGCCATTTTGAATGATCCGTTTTGCTGTACCGAATCACCGACCTGCCATTTTGCAGTACCGTTTGGCAGTCCGATGCACACTCTCCACATGGGTTTTCCAAACGGATCATAACTGTTGATGTATTCAAGGAAGGGGATTTGAAGGCGGCTGTCATGACCGTCAAAGAGACACATTGGCGTTGGTCCGTTTAGTGTCCGTGGATAGACGCCAAGATCATCTAGTGTCTTCAGTGCTTTCTTGAGAATGTCGGAAGTCATTGATCCTTTGGGAGACACAGCAATCATCCCAGGCACTTTCTTTCCTCTGAAGACACATTCTGGAGCTTCTGGAAGCGCCATTCCAGGACCAGCGTTCTCTTCCAGGGTCTTGCTCCCGTCATATGGTGATTCTGCCTGGTGGTCAAATCCCATGTAATCTTGAACACCCAATTCTTTGCCAGCAATAATGACAATACACATCACTGGATCTCCAGATGCAGCAGTCAGACCCATCACAGTGAACCGACCAGTTGCTTTTGTACTCAGCAGTTCTACCTTTGTACCATCCGCAAATTTGATGTACGTCTCACCACCATTGTGCCCATCTTGGTCCTGGGCAGTATCCGTTCCCACTTCGTCTCCAAACAACAAATACTCAGGATGTGTGAGCCTGATGGTGCACTTGTGGCCAGCCGCCTTGTCCTCAGAATCAACAATCTGCCCCTCTTTGTCAACCCAATAGTGTTCACTTTCCGGTAACTGCTCCGCGATTCCCGCTTTCACCATTTGCTCATACACTAATGTATACATTTGTTGGACATTCTCATATGTTGTCCATTCCTTCCTTGCTCTGTCCTGCTTACTTCCTCTGCCAGTTTTCAAGATGTCTTCGTGTCTTCTCATAAATCCTTTGAACCATCTCTTGCCCAGAGTCTGGGTTGGTTTGGATCCGCAAGCTCTATGAAAGTCTATGAGCGACTCTTCAACTTCTGATCCTTGTATAAGAGAATTGGCAAATGCAATTGTTTCCGGTTGGGTCAATGGCTGTCCTGCCTGTAATCTGTATTGAATAATAGTCAGGAGCAATGGCTCAATTGCAGCTGCTGGGGAAACAGGCCCTGGTTTGGTTGCAGTAATGTTTTTCCGGACTCTATGCTTGATAGTGTTCTTTGAAATCGAGAACCCGATTCCGTTAAGTTCTAGCTCTTCTAATACCTCATCATGCAATTTGTCAAAGGTACCAGGTGCTACTCTTTGTTCACTTGCAGCCTTGGCTGTAGCATAGCGTTCTTGAAGCATCACTTTTGCCTTCACTTTTTTCTGCGACAAATCCTTGGCAGCTTCCTTGGTTGACCCCTTTCTGCGGCCCACTTCCTTGGCGTGCTCCTCCTGTTGACTTCCTGTGGCGGTTGCCTTCTTCTTCTGCTCTGCAAGGATTCTTTTCTTCTTGCTTCTCACCATATCCTTGGTCAACCATTCGTACACATTCTGCTTTTCCTTCACCATAGCTCCGAACTCACCATAAATCTCCTTATGGGAATGACTTTTGGCTTGAAGATCAATGAGCCATTTTGCCAACTCTTCAACAATCGGCTTTCTGGCCCTTTTGGCCTCTACACTTACCCTCCCAGGGGCTTCTTGCGTACGCCTCTTGTTTGACTTTGCCATCGTTTGTTTCTTTCAGAGATAGTGGAGTGAGTTTTAGAAAAATGATCGGGCTAAATCAGTACGTTTCTGTTTTGGTACTATTTTACGTAGGTCTACGCTGTGGACGAGGCACAGACGCATTTTAAAGATGTAGTCAATTTTGGCTCGACTTCACCGCGCCCGTTTTCTAACATCGTCAACCTATCCGTACAGAAATACCATACTAGAACTAACTAAGGAAAGCAGCCAATCAGCATGTTGAATGGTCAAATAATAAAATATTAGCCGATGTCCTTGGATTTTTGGGGAACCTTTTTCTTCCTGTTTGGTTGACGCCATCAGAGATGTAGTCGTTCTGAAGGGTGAAAAGTGAGAACAGGTTTTCGACTGGTACGACCAATCCATCAAAACAACTTATCCACGGATCGCCACTTCCATCTGGAATCCTTCCGACCCCTTGTTGACATACAATATCCTCTCCGATTATTTACTTCTGTCGTCTCCCATAGGTTGATTGTTGCGATCAAGCATTCATTTGTCCCATCAGTTGCATGTGGACGGTCTTCCAATCATCCAATCATCCAATCATCCAGTTGCCATTATTCCGCTTCCACCAGATGCCCCCCAATTTCTGCGACATGTCAGATGTCATGATATTAGCTGAATTTAAGTAGTAATATTTTTAAGTTCACAGATGCATCTCCCCGGATCCTGTGTATTTTTCTTTGTTTTGCTAAGCATGTTCAAAAATTTATAGATGGCCAAGAGTTAGAGTAGTGAATCGAGTCGATTGCATTTCTTCAGCAATCGCAGAAATTGAGGGGTCTTTTCCGCGACTGTTTGGCCATTCTTTGGTGGTGTTTCCTGCTTTGAATCCTAGGGTGGGAGCTTTCGTTGGCTTGGTATTGGTGGACAGGGGATCTGCAACGTCACATACGGTCGGTGAGGCACTAGGGTTGTTGTCTGGGACTTGCTATATAAAATGTACCGAAATGTTTTGTGAAAAATTATGGCGATGATGGTGCTTTTTTAGTTGGATTCGGCCTCAATTGCCTCCCAGTTATGTTGAAGCAATGCAAACGTTTTGTCCACACCCAATGTTAGACCCTTTGTTTTGCTGAGGGCCTGTGCCCAGGGGAATCTATAATTTTCATCATTGACCCCATCAGACTGCTTTGTGAAGTAGTTGGCCACCCAATGCTTCACCAATATCGCCTTACTTTTTGAGGGAAGTTGTGGTGCAAAATCCACAGTTTCAAGTTTATGGGATCTTTCGATTCCGTAACCAATCGCTCTAAAGAACTCCGTGCCCTCTTCCTTAGTATCATTCAGGACCTCTTTTTCCCAAGTATTTTCCGACATCCGCAACTTCTGGAGACTTGTCATCTCCTTCAAACGAAAAAAAAATCCATCATTGCTTCACAATCGAGATCGTTGTATTGGACGTCCAAACATTCAAGTTTGCAATCCTCCGCAGACAGGTACGGGATCAATCCGTCCAGTTTGTGCAAACCGCAACGCTCCAGAGTCAATCTTTTCAGGTTGGCGAAGCCATCAAGCAACGCGCCGACCACTGCGAATGGAGGCCATTCCCAATCCCACCGCTTGTCGTTTGTTCCACTCCAGTGCAATTCCGTCACAGTAGTATTCTTGACCCATTTGGCCTCTGGGTCATCACGGCTGTCCGTCCAAATAGATTGTTCCTTTTCTGCATTTCCTGGAACCAGGTTCATGTTTGGTGGCAGTATAATTCTTAATCCAAACGACGAAGCAAGAATCTCTGACTCGACATTTGTCTTTTGCATCATTGCAATTTCACAACGATGCAAACAAAGTTTCTTTACGTCGCATTTCAAGCCCGAGCCGTAGTCGTTGTCATTCAAAGCTGAATACAACGTCTGGATGCTTATTGGTATGTTGTGAAATGCCAGTTTTTGCAACTGAGCGAGTTGTTTCAACTCACTAGCAAGAGTCTCCACCACCCGTCGACCTTCACCTTCGTAGCTGATAAAGGATTCTCGGTTCACGTCGTTCTCGAAATATTCCAGTGTTTTTAGATTTTGGATTGTTTGATCGTCCTGCAGAATAAGGACAAGATCAGATATCACGGCGTTTCCCAATATAAGAGTGTGGGATCTCCGGGCACTAGATCGAAGGATATCCGAATCGTCAAATCTGTGCCAGTACCCATCAAGTTCGACGCTATGGAACTTGTTGGTGTGTGAAAGGTTCATCAAGTCCATGTTCTGCTGTCCTCTTTGATGTTCCACGGGAGGCATGCGGTTCTCAATTTTCAATACGAGTTCTTCCGGATCAAAACGGAGATGTCCAGCCGCGTCCACGACATCTTCCATTGACAGCTTATCTCCTGTGTTTGCATCTTTAGCACTGACTAAGTACGGCATTGTAGTAGACTACTGGTTGGACTTATTGTGTCTTGTATCCTGCTGCTGTTGAATGCCTTGATCTTTTCGGGTGCAACAACAAAAAAGAACATGCTGGAAGATACAGTACTGTGTGTTGTTCTTGTTGAAGATGGCTGGCCGACTTCACAGACTGCCCGTACGTGAAGAAGTACCACAAATTTGCGTACACGTTTAGACCTGTTTAACAAAAGTAGTCATTTTACACTGTTTATGTGAAATAATTAGGGATTTAACACTTTCATTTCACTCTGGGATTTCTGTGTAGCAAATGTACCATGTTCTACGTGTTTTATTTCTGCCACTTTTGCCGTTGACGTTGTCCGAGTGTGCCCGTTCCGACATTCCCGCCCGATAGCGAAACACATGGGTTCGCACATTTTTCTCACTAAGTTTTGGCGTGATTTACTAAGAAGCTATGACTGACGCTGGAATTCCAGAAGCAGTTGCCTCGCACCGCCGGTGACCATCAAGTTCCACGCTAAAGTATTTCTCACCCCACCGAGTGTGAAGAAGTAGATTCATCAAATCTGGTGGCGGAAGTCTGATGCGCGGGGACGCGGTTTTCGATAATCAATTCGATCCGTTCCACAGGGAGAGAGTTTTCACTTGTGGCCACAACGATGGCTTCCATACAGAGCTTTTCTCTGGTGATTTCATTTTTTAAAATTGACCAAGTACGCCATGATGTCATGTTTAGGACTGTGTTGTGGACTGCGTTGAAAGGAAAAAAGGTTCGCTGCGTGTGTGACGACAAAACATGTTGTGGTTGTTGAAGTTTCGATCCCGTGCTTGCCGACTTCCGAGACTGCTGGTTCGTACAAAAGTACCAACAAATACCGTGGCAGATCCAAATGTACAGAGCATGTCAGTCGTGTGGAGTGCGCAACGAATCAGAACCTTTTTGAATATTTTCCTAGAAATGAGATGGTTGTGACTCACTATTTGATTGTTTTGGAGTGTTGGGTACTATGACAGCATCCCAAGTATCTGTGTCATTCATTGGAGATTCAGTAACAGCCTAATATATTCATCTGCAACGTATCTCATGAGATTGACAAGGATTTCCTTTCCAGAAGATCCACTTGGATAGGAGTCGTTCGGTAGTATTTGTTTGTCCGGAATAGATATAACTGCACACACCCAGTGAGTGTCCGGAATATTGATAGGAATGATGATCTTATTTTGTTTGAATAGATTGCCATTGTCGGTCATCTTAATAACAAATGTTCGCACTCTTTCATACAAGTAGGTGTTGTATTCGGAAGTAATGAAATATAGTACGTATGAACAATATCCAAAGCCTTCGTTGATCTGCTTATAATTGTTCCATACTTTTTGGTGGGAGTACTAAAAATGAATTCATATTAGATACCAACTACTGCTGGATCCTTGGAATTAGTTGGAATCGCTTCTTGGTTTTGTTGCTGCGAGACGTGCTGCGGAAGAAATTGGAGCTCCTCTCCATTGTTCTCGTCCGTATGTTCGCCGGTTCTATATGCGTTCTGTTCCTCCTCAGACATTGCATCCCACATAGCCTGATGGGTTGGCTCCAAATGATTAGCAATCCAGTCATCCATGAGGGTTTGCGTCACCCTTGGTGCCTCACCCCCAAGATCGTGGAAGCGGCGACGTCGTACTCGTGATTTGCCACCACTGCCCCAGGCAAACATCATGAATATATCGCGGTCTTTTCGATTGTGCAAGATAGTTTCGTTGGTCCTGAGTTCAACCAAGTAACACAAGGAAGTGGAGTGCTTTGAAGCGAATCCAAGAAAGCAAAATCCAGAAGAGTCAAGCAAAGGGTGGGCCACTCCAACACCATGATGCATGAAGTATGCAACTACTTTGTATGACTCCCTATCATACCCATCATTCCATAGATGCTTGTATTGACAGGTAGTTGCTGCACCAAAACCTACTGATTCTTTCATTCGGCGAAGCTGGTGGGGATAGTCCGAAAAATACTCTATCTGCTCAAATAATTCTTCATCAATCAGATCGTTCACATCAATGTGTGTTCCATTTACAAAAGAGAGAAAGCTGCACGTTCCCTTGCGCCAGGGGGCACCACAAGTGACTAACGCACGACCAGATTGTTCTTCCTCTGGGATACTGAATAGAGCCGGTAGGAGTTTCCTTCCAAATATCCTGACTCTCCTGTCCAACTCCTTCAATCTTTTTTCCACTTCAAAAAGCGAAATAAGATTTGTTTGGGACGATCTGTCGAAATATGATTGAAAACGGACGTCATCGTCAGCAACCGCGGGTGTGGGATTAGGCTTGCTGGTGCCCCTACTGGCATTGCGGTAGGCAGCTAGACCAGCATGTTCAGCGCAACTCCTTGTTTGTCCTTTCCGTCCGAGTGCAGCATGAAATGTCGATGCAGATGCAAAGGTGATATCTTCGGTGGACTGGGCTAGACTTTCATCATCAAAGTTGATGGAAGCAACGCAGACACCCACAGAGTCCTTGTCGTCCTCCATGGGCGCGTATTCCTCTCGAATGACGATCGGTTTTGCAGCTGTCGTTTTGCTGCAGTATATATTGAGCTCATCTTGCTTCTCCAAAGTATGAAAATCTGAAGGGGATACCACAATTATTCTTGTGGGAAGATGGAGGGATGGTACCAACATGGTGTACGGTTTGGCTTTGGCAGCGCGTTGGATGGTTCCATGAAAGTCTTTTTCGTTGGCAAAATCCTTCTGTTTGCAGATTTTCTTAAGATGCGGTAGACTGATGTTAACAAAATCTCTAAAATAGAAACTGAGGGAGCAAAGGTCAGTTGCGGCGTAGGCCAAAGGATCAATTTCTTTTTCGTCTTACCATTCATTATTTTCCATGTCTTCTCTTCTATGCAAAGGTACTGTCACCAAATGCTTTTCATTGATGTGAACAGTACGCAAGTGTTTCTTCCGGTGCTCCGCTTTTCCAGGAATCTTACAGTAAATGGCGATGGATTTCTGACAAACAGGGACTGGGCAATAGTCTGGACCACCGGAAAGACATATAAAGTCACTACAGGTCGGTGGTTCATGGTCCACCCCTATCATGGAGCCAGCAATCGAATAAACCTGGTTGACGTATCCTCCATCCATAAAATTGACATTGCTGGGGAAAGTCACGGTATCCCAGCTGTGCGGATGATGCCAGTGTTCTCTTTTGAGTAATTGTGAATGCGACAAATTCCAGAGCAAAAGCTCCATTCGCAAAAGATTACTTGATTTCAAAACTCCAACTCGATAGATGCCTTCGTGCATGACAACCAAAAGTGGTGTCTTGCCTGGTGGAGAAACGTAATTCCGTGTCGAGGTTGCAATGTTGGGGTTTACCAGAAAGGCAGCCTTCATTCCTCCATAAGCTTCCATCAGTTGGGCGATCGTCATGCGAACTTTCATCTCAAGTTTTACAACGGTGTCGTCATGGCACGCGATGTACAGTGTGTTCATTCCAACAACTGTCCTTGGTTTCTGTCGTTGTCGTTGATATGCATGGAAAGATTTGGGGAGCGGGAAACAAGAGTGCTCTTGTCTCTCCCTTTCACGCTGGGTGAGTAAATAGCGTCTTTCTTCTTCCTCGATTCTAGAAATTGCAGCGGCATACTGCTTTCTTTGAGTAATATTTTGCCGTTGGG